TCGGGCAAAAATTGCCCGTAGATCCCGCATACGCAGGATCGGGTAACTGTCTACCTCCCCGGACGACACGCTGCCAGGTTAGGCAGCATATTTCCTCCACTTACAATAGTTTCCAACGTATTTATGAGGATTGGGACATACACATTAGTTTTCATAGGTACGTAACGTATATAAATGTAGGTAGAAAAAAGCAAATGTTGATAATATAGTGAGTGTCACAAAGCACTACCCGGGACCCCAATCAGGCTCTCCCACTGTCCAGGGAAGGTTCGGGGAAGGTCGGGGGTAGTATGTACCGGCCCTGGTCATCAGGGATTATAATTTAATATTTCAATTTTTTTTAATTATAAAAACCATTTTCTCCAAAGAAATAAAAAATCAACTTTTCCCCATTTCTAAAGCAAATGCTTACAAGTATGGACTTCCATAGTGAAAATAGTTGAGATACCTTCTGCGAAAAATTACCTTGAATCTTTCTTAATGTCGCGATTCGCCTTGTGAAGGACCATATAACTTGCGGCCCTTTGTTCGAAAATGGTTGCGCATGACGGTTATAGAATTAAGTGGGATCTTATATATCATCAAATGCAGCAATAAATAAATAATTCTCCTAAAATGGAAAAAAATACGAACGTGTTAAAAGTCATAGTTCATTTTTAGAAAAAATTAAAAACACGTTAAAATGTAACAAACATCAAACTTATTATCTGTCTATATTTCTGAGATGAAGTATTGTAACAATTTACACTAGTTACATTATTCGAACTTTTGTCCTCATCTTTATTGCCATATTCACGACATTTCATCCGTTGTACACTCCGGTCTTCTTCAGGTGATATACGTTGGAATTTCCGACCGAATTCTTTATTTAGTCCACGGAGGCAGATTGTTCTAGTTCCACATGCCATGCCTTTTCTGGATATCTTAGTTTCACTTAATTTCCTTAAATAAATCTCCAGGTATTGAACTCAAAAGTTTTGGGGGTCAAGTCACTGGATTACTTCAATGAACGCTTTTATCCACTGGGCTATGTGTCCTTGGCGATATCCAGAAAATGCATGGCACGTGGAATTAGAAAAATCTACCCCCGTGGACTAAATAAATTCCAACGTATATCAAACTTATTAGTTGAAAATATAATCTAATATATAAAGCTAAAAGTTTGTGTGTGTCCACTTAAAACCATGAAAATTAACAGAATATATATAAATAGGTTGTCTGACCATGTGTGCACGTCTTTAAATGTGGCCTGACTACCGTTTACCAGCCTCACGGTCTTAGGGGTAAACAATAACTTGAATAAAATACTTGATTAAATGGTATAGTCCTAATTGACTAAAAATAGTGATGCAATCTCATCACATTATTTTGACAAGTACACCTCAGGCCACATTGAACAATCGGATCACCATATTTGAAACTATTGTTCCTACTTTATCTACAGTTGTAATTAGGTTGAATATAATTTCTTTATTGAAGAGGGTCAAATACAATAATAGGTGAGGTTTATCTTATCTAAATTATTAGTTGTTATTCTTGGTTTTTTTTATTCATTCTTCGCCACCATAATTATCAACACTGTACGTGTGTTTCCCAATTTTATTTAGTCAGTTGTTTTGTTGAAGTCGTTAAAATGATTTATGTTAGTGGACATTATGGATAAGTCTGAGAAAAGTATAAGAATAGTTCAAACATAAACCACAAATATAATATTTATTCTACTGAGAAACAATATACAACATACAAAACTTTTACTTTTGTGAATGATTTTTGTTATAGAATGATGAAATTTCTGCTTTCGAAAAGGTTCGGTACTTGGTGTCAGAAGTTAGATTGATGAGTTCTTGTTTTTGTCTACGTTCTGGGAGCAAAAAGAGACCAAGAGCTTCATATCTCTTGCTGAGGTAGTAGAAATACGAGCCATGATTGGATTTTTTTACTAGTCTGGACCTACTGTATATATAGGGTTCGGCAGACAGAGCCTTAAACCCTACTGCTGCTGTTTGTGTGTTTTGGGCAGCGTGTGCCAAAGTATATATATATATATATATATATATATATATATATATATATATATATATATGTGTGTGTGTGTGTGTGTGTGTGTGTGTGTGTGTGTGTGTGTGTGTGTGTAACTCGTTGTCTTCCACCAAGACTGTTGTAATGTTGTCTTTGTTCAAAATAGCCGAGAACTGGGATGGTCGTAGTTCGAGAGAGTATCGAAGGAACAGAAGACTAGTGGGGGAAACAAAGAAAAGGAGGTTTATTAAACACTCATACAGAAAACAAAAAACTTGAGTAAATCAACTAATCCTTAAATCCTACTCTAATGCGGCTACTTGCCATATTTATATGTAGGAACAGTCCATTGTCATAGTAATAGAGTCCTACCCTACAACAACGACTATGGGCTTGGTAAACAGTAGTCAACCCGTAAATATTACGTAACACTTTGACATCAAATAAATGCAGTTTAATCTTAATTTATCCTTATACCCACTCGAACGGATTATGGTACAAGGCCGAGTTTAAAGTGTGAGTCTAATTCATATACGTTACAACGAACAAAAATTGCTCACTCTCTGCATTTCGCTATAGAGACACCTCAGTTAACCTTAGAATAAGCATTGGCCCTGTGGAATGGCACCCTGGAGATGAGCATAATAACGGTAACCCAACATATTTTTCTAACTTAGTTTCTGGTTTCATGAAGTTTTTAAAAAATAACTGTTTTTCATTTCCAATCTGGTCTTTTGTGATATTTATAAATAAGCATTTTTTGTTAATGTATTTTATAACTTAAATGCTTCGCTATGTAATGACCAGTTACTCGTTTCCGAAAACACTTGTCCACTAGAGCGGCTAGCTTGTGTTTGTTCAACAGAGTCCACCTATGGTTTATACTGCAACTATGCATGCTGGGTGGAGCTTAGTTACTGTTCCTGAGAGAGAGAGAGAGAGAGAGAGAGAGAGAGAGAGAGAGAGAGTAATACTTTGAATAAGGCCAGTACGCTCAAATCATCGGTCACGATGACTTGCGACTTCGTGCTACAAAACGACTTCTAAAATAGTTCTGTTTGCCAAGTTTCACTCACAAAGCTTGGGTCAACCCGTGGTATGATTTTCAGGCACTTCCCAAACGGTGCCGCAACTTGGGAACATCATCTCCCTGACAAATCTACCATGTGATTCAAACACTGTTCTTATGGTAAGAAATTGAACGTTCTATAAACTCGATCATGCACCCATATAGCTATGTAAATAAAACTTTTTCTTGTTCTGGTTACAATCTTAGTTTTTTCAGGTAAATCTATGAGTGTTACTGGTATCATATAACCCAGTACTACCTGTTGCATGGTCAGGCCATAGACAATTAAACCTGTTCCCCCACCAGACTTTACTTGTGAGGAAGGTGACTAGACAGTCAACTGGATTAAAATCAAGACCTGTCAAATGGTGGATGAACCTTCTTGTAAGATCAACAACCATATTGCAAAATAGAGTAAATTCGACTCAATAGCTACCAGTGTGGTGATGATACGGCATCGCTGGGCGGATGGCTAACTAGACTGACGTCAATGGCCAGGGTGGAAGGTTCCCCCTACTCCGATAGAATCAAAGGTTACGTGTCCGTGACTAAGACGAGCGTTTAAGTTTGAGGGCATTAGTTGTGGTTTGATCTGGAGAAGGAAGGGCTCCGGTAAGACATTTACCCGAGCCCTTCCTTGAATGCCTCTTCGGCTTTCAATCCAGGTATGTAGAGTGAACTGGTTAAATGATATGCTGTACAGAGAACTTACCACCACACCCGGTTTCCAGACTGATTATGATGGTATTAGTGTTTTATGTAATTTGAACTTACAAAAGTTTTTTAGCATCCGGCTACCACTTTTTTTTACCAATCTCAATTTTTGTGCAAAAAGCGGATCACAATGCTTACTCAGCTTCATACATATTTTCAGAAAATCTCAACTTCTGATTGGTCACTTAATATTTAAATCATATCCGAATAACATCGACCTAGTTCTTGACCTGACAAAAAATAAAAATTCCACCAGAATCTGTCAATGCCTTTTCGAGCCTACCACGTCATAACTAACTGCATTCCGATTCCCATTTCGGGCGGACGCTATGAAAACATATTCACACACACACACATACAAGTACGTACGAAAATTTCCAAACTACATTAGAAACATATGAAACTTTTCAAACTACGAATATTCAACTACAAGCATTGGAAATTTAATTACAAACATTACGGAACATTCAACTCTTCTAAAGCTAAAAGTTTACTCAACTTTTTCACAGCTTTATAATTCTTTCAATTCTCTAACGAGTGAACATTTTGAGCGACAAGTTCATTCAACTTTTGTGAGCTCGGATAAATATATTTCATTAGTAAAAACTTTAATTCAGTCAAAGGGACATAATACCAACAAAAATAGTAACCCCTATGTTTGTATACATCATTATACAAATATAAATATTGTTGTGGTTATAAAACCGTTTTGTGTTTATTCTTGTTGTTTCATATTTTTGTGGTATTTTGCGTTAAATATAAATTGAAAGGACATATCAACTAACAGTCATCAACAAATGGTAACCCTGATGTTTCAAAAGGAATAAGAATAAAAAAAGTCCTCTTCAATTTCATTGGAAATGAATGCTTTACTTTCGGTTAATGAGAGAAACTTGCGCCGGACTAGTCATCATCGAATGGTAAAATTTCTTCTCTCCAGTATGTGATGGCCCATTGTTGGAAGAAGGCCTTCCCCAGATTCAATTAGAGAAATAGGCTATTACAATATCACGCTGGACCAATGCGTGTTGGTAGGGGCGGATATGACATGCTTGGGCAATCATGTCTCTTTTCGTTTCACGATCGCCCAAGGGTTTTTGCGTGTAAGTGAATATAATGAACCCGACTGGAATTCGAACTCAGCTCTCCGATTTCCCATTCCGAGTTGTTATTCTTTACACAATCCACACATCTAATCTTACAGTACCTGATATTCCCAAGCGGTCCCCCATCTAGGTACTGACCAGGATCAACGTTGCTTAACTTCTGACGAGAACCGGTTTCAACGTGATATGGCCGTAAGCATAATGGCAAGATTTATGGTACACCATAACTCTTGCCATTATGCTATTTTATGTAGCAGAAAAACTTCCCAAAATGATATCAAAGTCACTAAAAATATGCATTACTATTATAAAAAAAATGTGTCGATATACAGGATGTCCCTAAAATCTGGACACTGGCTGTAAATGGAGTGAAGATTCTTATTTTAGAAGGAAGAAGTTGCTCAGCGTTGAGATTCTAACCCTGCTGCAACACCTTCCTAATCGCACTAAAGAGATTGGGTCGGTTTAATACCGATGCCAGCGTGACAGTGGTCACAGAGGCTGGGTAAAAATCATTTTTTGTCCTTGGTCCATATGCATAAGTATGTGCATGGCGCTCCCCACGTTAAAATGACGTTGTGCCACATTTAGTCTTGGTGGGGAGGCAAGGTAATTATACCTAGACACATAGGAAAAATGCATATTTTCAAGAACATTTTATTGAAATGGAATATTAACAAATAACATCTTCAATATGATTTCCATTATTTGTGATGCAAAGGTTGATGCGCTTTGCAATATTCACGTGAACTCGATGCAGTTGCTGTCAATTTTAGCACATTAACTCTTTATGCGTTCAGCCAAGTGTGTTGCATTTGTGATTTTCATTCACCTTCTCCTTTAGCATACCTCAGAAAAAGAAGTCACGTTTCTTCTTCCGACAAAACCATGTTTAATCTGTGCAGGTAAAAAAAAATATATATAGTTAATGAGACTTTGCGATGACCAGCAGCGGTCACTTGCAGCGACAAGCGATCGTCCAGCAACGACCAACATCGATCACCTGCGACGACCAGCAGCGATCAACTTACCAGTCCGACCGTCGACACGACCACTCCGACTACACATCAACGTCCCGACCGTCGACACGCGCAGTCCGATCATCGACACGACCGGAACGGCCGCACCCCAACTTCCGACACGTCCAGTCCGACCGTCGACACGACGAGCAACCGCTCTTCAATTTCCCGTCGTCGACACGTCCAGTTCGACTATCGACACGACCGGAACGACTGCACCTCAACTTCCGACCGCCGACACGTCCAGTCCGATCATCGACACGACCGGAACAACCACTCCTTAACTTCCCGTCGTCGACGTCCAGTCCGACCATCGACTCGACCGGAACGCCCGCACATCAGCATCCCATCGTCAACACGACTAGTCCGACCATCGACACGACCACGACAACCACACCTCAGCTTCCCGGCATCGAGACGTCCAGTCCAACCACCCATCAAGTACGAGGCCGTCTAACCCACGGCCACTCAGGTCTGCATTGTAAATAAATTTTGTATTTAATCTTAAATATCCTCATTCTGTTGTCCATTTTGCTTCACCTGTCAGATTTCACGTCTTTAATTAAAAAATATTAGTGGGCCTCTTGTGACCTCATACTGATTTGGGGCGCTCGGGTCATTTCACATTGCGCCCCCCTCTCTGCATGAGGTCCACTACAATTTCCTATGTCCAGGCTTTACGGACACTGTATCGCTCAAAACATTTTGATGAAAACAAAGAAAATAATAGCCCAAAAGAATGTTGAGAATTCTTAATCCAAAAATTCCTGACAAAAACAAGCAATTATAGAAAATTAAATCTTTGATAAAATATACTGACATTTTCTATCCTATTATGCAAGATACATATTATATGTACACTAGTTTATTTATTCTATGAAAAATGATAGCATATTTTGCGAAGTCCTCGTTATTAGAAGGTTTCACATCTAAGTTGCAATATACAGGGTGCGGCAAAAGTAACGCCCTTTTTGGACGCAAGCTAAATACTGCGTTAGAAAAGTTAGAAATCAGAATAACATTTACTTTCAACAGGATAGCGTGCTTCCTGTCTATGGTTTACGTGTTTGAGAATAGTCAATTCTTAACTTCGAGCTGAGGTGAATAGGTCAACGTTAAGCAATTGAGTGGCCATCATGATCAACAGACCTAACACCACGATTTTTTTCTCGTGGGGAGAAAAGATCTTGTTTACAAGACTAAACGTAAAACAATTCCTGAATTAAAACAGGCAATTTCTAATAAATTTCCTGAAATTAATGTAGAAATGTGTCAAATGGTTTGTAGAGGTCTTATTGGTAGGGTTCAGCGTTGCATTGAACATGAAGGGGAGAATTTTGAACATGTTAATAAACAGTTCGTTAATCATAACAAATCATGTTCTTTTGATGTGACAATACTTATAAATTTTCTTAAACTACTATAATTTAGTTTTGTTCAATAAACATTAATAAATAAAAAAGAGCGTTACTCTTGCCACACCCTGTATTTCCTCAATTATTATTTTAAATATCATAATGATGGATAGATCAGTTCATTAATAAAAAAAAAAAACTATCCCCCATCTTATGTTCAGTAAAAGTTTTTTACCCATGCTGTCATGAATTATATGTTATTACGTCCTTACTATAAATATTGTTATCATATATAATACGCAAACCTAACATTAAGTCGTGAAATTCTGAAAAATGTATATCTCGTGCATAATACGCACTGATTTTCTTTCGTCTAGCACTAAATTTAACATTTGTTCAACATTTTATCTGGCTTGCGTCGACTAAAAATAAGAATTTATATAGTTTATATCATGTTTTGAAACACACAATTTACACAGTAGGGCAAACACATGAAACATGTTCAAACAAAAACAAACGTTTACATTCCAGTGGTATGTCGTGGCATAAAACAGAAGCGGATATTACTACTACTGGACAACAGTGAAGATAGCATACTTTTTGAGGAAGAGGGATAAAATAACTCTGTGAACAACGATGGCATTGAAAACTACACTCACGATATAAATGAAGCTGTTATGAGGTCTATCTTTAACAGAGACAACAGTGAAGCCGGCTAAAATGTGCTCACTATATATAGATCTTTTTTTTTTTTTTTTTTTTTTTGGCTAGTGATTTAAAATTCTATATTTAGACATTAGTTAGTTTGGAACATCGATATAACTTGCTTTCGCTCATATTGCCCACATATCCGCATAAGCTGTGCCATTTACTCTCTAACATTAAAGTGGTTCTTGGGCCTTGTAAGTGTGAATATCATTTTTTTTTAAAATATGGCGAAGTATCGAATTCCAGTCGAATCCATTACATTCACTTACACGTGCTAATTTGGGAAAGGTATGATTCCTCTTCTCCCCCCAGCTACGGGTAAATAACAGGACAGACCGGGTTCTATAGACTTGTATGGCAACTGGTCTACCGCAGAAAGAAATGGCAACCTACAGCGGAAAAAAAATCTGCCTCGTCAGTCATGTATCGAAAGATACATGATCGCCTAAGCGTATATCACACATGGCACATAACTGACTGAAAAATAGTTAATATTTAGTTCTCGTATATAACACGCACCGCTAACTTTTAGGCTTAAAAACCTAGGGGCGGAAGAGAGAGATTATTATATAATTAGATGAAGGTTATCATATTTTTCGCTTAGTTACTAAAGTTGTACTTTGCCCTTTCAAGGAGAACGTTTTTTCACCTTCCAACTTCGGAAATATCTTCGAATTGTTCGTTATTGTTATAACAAAGACGCTGTCAATGTAAGGGAGGTAACTCTACATAGTGTAAAGTTACAGACATTACATTACAGAATAAAAAAACAAAAAAAAACAATACAAAACAAAACTAAACAAAACTAAACAAAAAAACAAGGTTGCCAATCATGACAAACTTTAAGTTATTCGGATTAGTGTCCTCAACTCCGTAACAATATTTCGGTAGTTATACAGGGTGACAGACTATGATTAGGGAAGGTTTAAGACTCCAGCATTCCACTACCAGACCTGATTGTCCTACGAAGTCGTGGAAAAGTTACATAGTGGTCAGGAGTTCAATCTCTAGATCAGCTAGTGAAAGATATATATCGAAAAAAATGGAAGTTGACGCTTGTGCCGGAAAAAACAAACAAACAAAAATATATCTAACCAAAAGGAGCACACTTGATCATTTATGAGCATCTCCAATGCGTGGCTAAATTCAAACGAATCAATTTGTATACGCACAAAAAGACCTTATATGGGGAAAATAAACTGACAAGTTACCTTTACTTTCCTTTTCTCGCTAATATATAAAAATCATTACTATAGAAGATAACTACACGTCAGCGTATAAAAAATCATTAATTTAGCAGACGACAACACGTATGCTAATAGTTTGAAACTTGGATACATTTTTTCTTAATTTCAAAATAAAATACAGTGTATCTAAAAAATAATGTGTACTTACGACAAATTAACAAAATATGTTTTTATTATCTGTCTATATCTCTGAGATGAGGTATTATGATTATTTATATTATTTACATTATTCGAACTGTTATCCTCATCTTCATTGACATATTCACAACATTTCGGCCGTTGTACGCTCTGGCCTTCTTCAGGTGATTGTAATTTCGAACCGAACCCTTTATTTCGTCCACCGGATAGGATTGTTCTATTTTCACATGCCATGCCTCTTACGGATGTTTCAGTTATTTTCCTTTAATAATTTTTGGTTCCATACTGCTGTAGCCTGGTATTGAACTCACATTTCTTGGGGTCTCTAGTTTATCCACTGGGCCATGTGTTCTCAAATGGATAAAGGCGTTGGTTAGATCCAGTGACTAGACCAGAAGAGTTCATTGCCAGGCTACAGCAGTGGTGAACGAAAAAGAACTAATAATAAAAATAAGGAATCGAATCTTTCTGTCTCTGTTATCAACACTGTGTCATCTGCACATCTTATATTAAAACTGTGTTCGCTAATAATAAATCCTGGTAGAACTTCCAGTTCTCTCAGAAAGCATAAAACACCATGTTTGTTATTTTCTGGTAGGCAAACCCAGTTTAAGGTTGTGTAATAAACTAAAACAATGGTTCCTGTGTACAAGAATAGCAAAGCAGTAATAGAAATGGGTTATCAACTCGACAACAAGTTTTGAATGACGATGAATTTCGGCAGTAGGT